ACAAAAGAGATTTGATGAACTAAATACACGGAATCCTAGCTCAGTCAATCGGGAACGAAGCCAGAGGATCTCACAAGTGCCCTGAGCCATGGCACGGTACTTTGCCTCTACAGAAGAACGAGATACAACACTTTGTTTCTTACTTTTCCAAGAAATTAAATTGCCCCCGTGAAAAGTACAGAAACCTTAAGTAGAGCGACGGTCAGTCAAAGATCAAGCATAATCAGCATAGGTGTAGCACAAGATAAGAGGCTATGGTGTGGATTTGTATAATAGACCAAGTCCTGGGCAGGACTTGAGGTACTGAAGAATTCGGTATATTGCATCTAGGTGTGAGGTTCGAGGAGTATGCATGAACTAACTCACAACACTAACTGCAAATGTGAGATCAGGTCTAGCTAATAATACCGATGGCATGACATTATTAGTGTAAGAAAGTCTTTCCGAAACTCAACAAAGAAATAAAGTGGATAAGTCCGTAATTTAGGAGAGAGTGAGGTTCACACACCAATGGTTAGTTGACGAGCACCCCAACGGCTAGTTGTATTAGTCAAATTTGGGCTGGTGTTAAAATTGATGGGCCATTCTAAATATGCCAATTTCATTTGGGCAATTCCAAGTGTAACAAGTTCTTTAGGTTTCTCACTCCTTTGCTCTTTTGAAAATTCGAACACTCACCATTCATCTTAAGAAGTAGAGGAGATACTATTAGACTACAACTTGATTTTTGCTATACTTATACAGGACTCTTTGCTCTAATTGACATGAAGTAATTGATCTTAATTGTGTGAAAATGAAGTTAGCCAATTATCACCCAGTTGTTATAACATACTTGTGTTGCGTCCTAACTTGCAAATTATGAGCCTTGAGGGCTATTTATATGTAATTTACTTCAGTGTCCCGTTTTTTTTTTTTTGGTAAGTATGTGTGTGTTCTCTAAGCATATATATTTAATTTACTTTGGTATTCATTTATATGCATATACGATATTACTCTCTATAATTTGATCGCATTAACATCACTATAATTAACAACAAAAAAACAAAGCCTCTAATTCAAAGATTGTGATTATGTCTTTATGTTCCAGATTCATTCTTAAATCTTTTCTTCAGGTTTGAAACACACATATATATATCTGGACACACTCATGTAACAAAAAGGAAATATGGAAAGATATGAAAAGATAACCCAACTTCCTGAAAATAATAATAATAGTCGAGTATGCTCGTACATATATATTTTTTGGGTAAGTCAACATATATATTTAGAGCAGTAGTTTGTTAAAACACTTTTTTGTGTAAAATATACCATGTGTAATTTTTTTAAATTTTTTATCTTCAGCAATCTGTTAAAATACACTGTCACGTCATCAATATATAAAATTATTGTGTATTGTTGTGTATTTTAAAGCATCTCCAACCATTATGTAAGTCAGATGTGTCATAATCTAAGTCATAGAAAGCGGGAGCGGAAGCGGAAGCGAGAACAGTGAGAATTTAAGCGAGAGCGAGCGCGGAGGATGAGAGCGACGTCTGTTGAGAATGATTGTGTGACTTAAGTCATAATTGATTTACACAAAAATTATGGATTATTTATTTTTAGCTCTAAGAGTTGTTTTATACATTTTGTATAAAAATATATCCCAATAACAACCAACCAGTGTCATGCCTGGACTCCATATAATTTTTACAATCCTACTTTGTTAATGGAATGAGAAAGAGGGAACAGAAAAAAAAAAATATATGCTCATATGACTGTGTAAAAAGTTTGTGTAAAATTTATAACAATTTCACACATTGATGATATATAACAGACTGCTCCACATAAAAAAAAAAAAAAAAAAAAAAAAAAAAAAAAAAAAAAAAAAAAAAAAATTACACATCATTCGTGAGCAGACTGCTAGAAATGCTCTTATACAACCTTTTTACACAGCTAATTCAACATATTTCCTTTCTGCAAACAACTGTTGCTAAAAATAAATAATCCAAAATTATTGTGACAAATCAAATTTACAAAATATACATGTACACACACACACACAACGGTTGCAGATACTCCATAAATGAAATAAACCTTGACTTGGAGATGATGACATAACAAGCAAATAAAAAAGCTTTCTTCTATATCAATAAATATGCTAATTAATTGTCAATTCATTGGAATATTGGATCTTGCATTTCTTAGAGTGATGACCTAACATTGATGTACCTGCTATTGAATTATGAGATGAAAATATAACTCTTATATCCTTACAAATGACCCACGTATTAAGCCTGTTGTCACCATACTCCCTTCCACGAAGCATCGTCTATGGTGACAATAAACTTAATTACACTACCATTTTTAGACCAATCATCCGTCAAAATATCGTTGGCTAGACACTGACAAGCAACCGTAGCCAATGAGAGATTAACTTCTTTCTAAAAGATCAAAACATTAATGGCGTGTTCAATGAAAGTCACGTTCCAACGGATCACACTCGTATTAGTATTTATAGATGAGGTCATGTTGAAAGCAGGAGAGACGATGGAAAGTGAATGAAGATAAAATATTGGAGGGTGGGGTATTAAAATGTGCATAATAAGGCCGGCGATACTTAACTGGGTGACAAGAATTTTACAGCTAGTGTCGCACGAGGGCTTGGCCGGGGCATCGTAGGGTTCAGGGGTGTCGTGCAAAGGGTAAACTGCGGCCATGTTAATTTTGGTATAGCCGGCGATGGCATGTGTCACACTCCAACCCAATTTATACTATTTAATAAATTGAACAAATTGGAGTGTATCTAACCATCTGCATTAACCTCATTTAACATGACATCATCATACATCAGAGTACCTGCTTAACAGTTTACAATTGAAAACAAAGTATAGGCCTGTTATGCAAATTCTGACAAACTAAAACGTTAACTACAAGTTACACTATTAAAATTCTACTACAATATTTACATCTTAAACAACAGACGTTCCATTATTCTTTTCCCCATTCACACACAAAATTCTAGACCTGGCAGTAGCGACCCCACCTTGTACCTGAAAATATAGATATAAAAGAGTGAGCTTAAAGCCCAGTGAATGCAACACTACTACATCAGAGTAATATAAACAATTATTATCTGATAACTTCAATTAAACTTTATTAACATATTACAGACATTAAAATATAGTACTCTCCTTCTTGGCCAGAGTATGGACCTTATTTAAATATAGTACTCCCCTTCTTGGCCAGAGTATAGACCTTATTTAATGTAGTACTCTCCTTCCAGGTCAGAGTATGGACCTTTTATAATATATTACTCTCCTTTCAAGCCAGAGTATTTATCTTATAAAATATACTCAAATTATATATATTCATCTTCAATTCACATAAACAGCTTCAATACTTCAATTAAACACATCCAGGTATAAACTTCCAGTGAGTACACTCACCTTGGTTACTTTTCAAATTATTTAATTGTCCTTCCGTATGGTTGTACCTTCCATCTCCTTCTCCTTGCCTATACAACATTATAATCAAGTTATATTTATTTCCTAAAGAGAATTAAATCACAATCATCACCTCAATTAAAATTCTCAAACTTTATACACACTTTTGGCTAAATTCTAATCACATGCCTTCATATAAATTTCCAACTTGAAAACTCCAAAGAAATAACCATAACCATGGTATCACTTTACACAACTTTGAATAAATTAAAAAAATATAAAATAGATGATATACAAACTAGAACAGGTAATTGTATAAACTATTACTACAAGTTAAGTAATAAACTTAATTTCAACATAGAATAAAAATATAAAACCCCTCACCTGTATTTGAGTTCAACAACAATTTAGTGAGAAAAATCCTTTTCTTTTCTATTCCCTTTCTTCTTATTTTTGTTCTCTCTTTCGACTCTGACTGTATTGCACTGTTTGTGGTATATTTTGTTGTGTTTCTAACAAAACAATAGTGTTTTCGAAGGCGGTTCCAACAAGCTGTAAAGGTAACTTTAATCTTATACATATCTAAATATATTTTCTACACAAATACGTGTCTATGTTCGGTTCATTCTTGTGCTGCCAGCCACTTGACACCCATCCTCATCCATCAGCATGATAATTGCAATTATATCTAATATATACCAGCAACTATGTATTGCAGCCACCACCTCAAGAGTTTTAGTAAAGCACAAAACTTTTAGTCTCGGAAAGCGTACATGTAATCACATGAGTTGTAAAAATCTAATCTCCTGAAAATGGAGATTATCAATTAACTTGTATGTGCCATGTGTCACCCCAAACTTATTACCACTTCATTCTTTACATGCATATATAATTATATACATATGCTCTCAACAGTATACTACCTCTAAAGCTCCGGGAGAAAGCTTTAAATCATCAAAATAATATAATAACACATATACTGTACATTACCACCTCATAAACACACATCCAATTACCTTACGTACACACACACTGCATTACTTAATAAAATGCGTGTCACATAGTCCTCATTTCTTTTCTTTCATTTAAATTTTTAAATCAATTAAATAAGTAAATTTAAGCTCAAATAACCATTAAATCAATTCACAATAATAACTAAAGGACTAAAAAAAATTCGGGATATGACAGCATGTTTAGACTCTGCTTCACGTTGGTCTCCATTGCTTGATGAAATCAATCTACCACAGAGAATGGAATACGACCGTAACGACGGAAGGTAATTAATAATTTGTAACGACTGAAGGCAATTAATAATTCGGTAATTATTATTATTTTTTTTTTTCGAAAAGTTCAGCAATTTATTAATGAAAAGGATGTACAGAAACTGGCCCAAGAAGGGAAAAGTAAAAGATACAAGACCATGAAAAGGTCCAACCCAAATTCAACCAACCAACCCCAACAAGTCCAAGAGACCAAGAGGCCCAAAACCCTAAAGCCGAACAACTTTAAGTTGTAACCGTAAGTTGCTCAACAATCACCATCTCCGGCGGGACAAGCCATGTCTGGCAACAAGCAACCTCACGGCTGCAATGGAGGCTCATCCGGAGGACGAGGAGGAGGACGGATGAAGGAAGAGGGAAGATCCCAAGCCTGACGGGCACGCCGAGCAGCCACCCCATCCTTGAGTGACAAGGGCAAGAGTCTTTCTCTGATGGAATTAGTGATTTTCAATAGGACAGTGTTTTGATTGCTTGATATGTCCTGGAAGATTCTTGAATTCCTCTCAACCCAGATGTGATAAAGAGATGCTGAAAGTGCCAGTTTGTTAATAGCATTTGCAATGCTCTTTGATGACCAGTGATGTGAAGCCCAAAAAATGAAATCATTCCACTGAGATCTTGTGTAAAATCCACAGGTATTTTGCAAGTGGGACCAAATTGGAGCAGTGAATGAGCATGAGAAGAAGATGTGATTCAAGGATTCTCCAGAGAAGAGGCATAGTGTGCAGTGGTTCAGGATGTGCTTGTATGCCATGGATTGACTATCAAGTGTAGGAAGTTTGTTTAGAACTGCTAGCCACAGGATGACTCTATGTCTTGGGATTGACAGTGAATTCCATACTAGCTGATACCATGGGGCAGGTGGAGCAGGTAGAGCTAGAGCTTCAATTGTGTGCTTGAGAGAGTACTTGCCTGTTGATGATGGCCTCCAGGTGAATGAATCAATACCTGAACCAGCAAGGGGAATGTGTTGGAGGCTTGGTAGAAGTGAAATTATGTTGCTTGGGAAGTTCCATGTATGTGCTGACATGTAGCCAATCAGTCTAGCATTGAGAGGGATTCCAGAAGTGTCGATTTGAGCATGGGAGAATCTGCTGCAAAGAGGGCTGTCCTCTAACCAATTTGTGATGCCAGAAGGTAATTCTCTCCCCATTCCCAATATTTACTTTGATCAATCTCATAAAAGCAGGCCTAAGTTGCAGTAGGGATCTCCAATTGTAGGAGCACTTTTGAGGAATATTCAGTTCCCAAAAGCATTTGTCCTTTAGTTGGTGATCAATAATCCACTGAGCCCAAGAGCTATCTTTGCAATCAGTGATGATTTTCCATAGATGTCTCGTCATAGAAGCCCTATTGATGAGTTCAACATTTGGGATGCCAAGGCCACCCAACCCTTTAGGTCTGCAAACATGGAGCCAGGCTACCTTTGCTTTTTTGCTATTAAGACCATTATCAGACCATAGGTAGTTCCTGCATAACCTATTAATTTCATGGATCACAGCCTTGGGCAGTATAAACATACTAGCCTAATACATCTGCATGCTAGTAATGATGGATTGTATGAGTTGAATTCTACCTGCATAAGAAATTGCCTTGCTTGTCCAGTGATTCATTCTGCTTGAAATCTTATCAACTAGAGCTTTACAGTCATGGGCTGTAAGTCTTGTGGTAATGAGGGGTACACCAAGGTACCTAATTGGGAGAGATCCAATTCCTATCCCAGTTAAGTTAAAATTGAAATTTGGGTAGCTTGATCCACACCACAGAAAAAGATGGAGCTCTTAGACTTGTTGATGCTGAGTATCCCCATGCTTAACCAAAATTGGACTATGGTCAGACAAACCTTGTGGTAGGAAGAAACATTCTGATCTTGGGAATAAGGTGCTCCAATTGATGTTAATCAGGGCTCTATCAAGCTTCCTAGCAATATTGGTAACTCCCTCACTTTTATTATTCCATGTATACAAGATGCCACTGAATCTGAGGTCATCAAGTCCAGCCTCATAGATGCACTCTCTGAAGTCAGCAGCAGCAGCATTCCATCTCATAGAACCTCCATTCCTCTCATTAAGGTTGCAGGTAGCATTAAAATCCCCTAGTAGGATCCATGGAGATAAAGAAAAAGTTTCTGAAAAATTGGAAATATCCTCCCATAGCATTCTTCTATCCAAAACATCATTTGCCCCATAAATAAAAGAAGCATTGAAGCTTCTGTTATCTGCCACTACTTTAAGATTGCAATGAATAGCTTGCCTTGACTCAGAAATGAGAAAGAGATGGATGACATTGGGATTCCATAACAGCTAAATTTTTTCCAAAGATGAGTGATTGTAGTTGTGGATCAAGCTCCAGTGGGGAGCAATAAAACTATGAATAGAATTCACATTAAGAGAGTTAACTCTAGTTTCAACCAGAGCAATTACTGAGATTCTATGGTCAGGTAGAAGAGCCTTGACTTCTAGCTGTTTTGAGAGGCTATTAAAGCCTCTCATATTCCAGGCAGCAATGGAGGTCATTTGGAAGGAGTCTTGCTTCCTCCCCTCAATCTCAAACCCTTAAAAGGGAATGAGTTAGCCTTAAGACTCTTCCTAGTCTTGTCTTTGGATGAAAGAACCAGCTTCTTCCTTTTATGTTTGCTACTCTGAGAAGGATTCCAGGATCCAGACATAGTTGCAGAATCATTGGAGTCAGGATCAAGAGAGCCCTCTGTGTTGCTGCAGCAGTTGGTGGAGCTGAAATGGTTGGGATCTGAAGCCAAGTCCTCTGTAGGAGGCAAAAAGATAAAAAGATAAGATAAGTGATCGAGTCATGATTTTTTATTTTTTATTTATTTATTTGGTATATATGATAAATTTGTTATTAAAAAAATTAAAATATATAAGGAGAGCTAAAAAGCATGTATCAAAGGTCTAATATGATGCCTGTCGGTTGTACTTTCTTGTTTGGATTTTTTTTTTTCTTTTTTCTTTTCTTTTCAAATTCAAGTTAACTTTTTAACAGATAAAAAATCATGTTTAATATTCAAAAAAATTTCAACACACCTTGTTACTATCAATATGACATTTGTATGACTTTCATAACATTATATACACTACAACAAATGTGGCCATTTGCAACTCCAAAAGGCATCGTAAAAACTCAAAATTGGTGCAGAAAAATGTACTAGCAACCCAGAAGGGGTCGCATATTAAGTCGGCATTAGTGGGGTCACAAAAGGTACTGTTATTTCCGACTCCTATTTGGAGTCGGGAATAAGGTTGTTGAGTATTTACCACACTATTGGCGTTAGAAATATATCAATATTTACTACACGAGTCCTCCTATTTAGCCTGACAAATAAAAACCTACTATTTTACCGAGTCTATTTATGTGTCAAATATAATGGAACCCATATTAAAATATAAGGTAACTATTTAGAAAGTTGTAGACCTTTTTTTTTAGGTTTCATCTTTTTTTAAGTTTCATCTTAATCTAGTATATTTGTTAGCGATTAAAGTTTCAATCACCATGTATATCAAATTGTGTATTTATTATATATATACACATCACATTGCATCTCTGTAAGAACTCTTGAAATACGACATATCCTATACACAATTACAATTAGATTGTGTATCCCTCTTTATATATAAAATATTGTGTCTTTGATCAATAATATACATCAATTACTTTGATAGGCATTTGTTAAATGCTATAATGATCAAAGATGATGATACTTTCCTAGAAACAAATATAAGGAGACGAATTTTAAATTTTTTTTGCAAAGTATTGAAAAATTGTAAAAAAACATTGTAATTTTTGTTGTAAATTTTGTACAAATCAAATTTTTATATTTGAGTATTATGAAACTTGATGTGAAAACGAAAAGAAGAAGAAGAAGATGATGATAAAACCATAAATGGAAAACTAAAATTATAAGGAAATGTGCTATGAAAAACTGAAAAATAAGGAAGGGAAAATAGACGTATTTTATGGAAACAAAACAGAGTAGTAATGATACAAATTAAAGTTGAAATTTTAGAATAACCACCAATTTTAAATTTTTTTGCAAAAATATTGTAATTTTGTTACAAATCAAATTCTTATATTTGAGTACCATGAAACTTGATGTGAAAAAGAAAAGAAAAAGAAGAAGAAGATGATACAACCATAAATGAAAAACTAAAAAGATAAGGAAATGGGTTATGAAAAACTGAAAAATAAGGAAGGAAAAATAGACTTATTTTATGAAAACAAAACATACTAGTAATGATGCATATTAAAGTTGAAAATTTTTAGAATAATACTGTGTTAACATATCATTGAACCACGCTATCTTATTATAATATATTAAAAAATAATTTACTAAAGCTATATCAAATCTAATTATAGGAAAATTTAAAATTTGGTGACCAAAATTAAAAATAAAAATATGTGACGGCCCTGGTTCTTCAAGGCACTGCGTGTGTCTAGTGATGAACCGAAGATTGACCCGATAACGGATCCAGATGCGAAAGCCAGAAATAAAACAACAGTCTCCCAAGGCACAACATGCCTCTAAGACGCTTTGATGACCTTCCATGAGGTGGTAGAATTCAATGAGAACTGACGAGGAAGCAAACGATCGGAAATATGACAAATAAGCCCCCAAGAGCAAAATAGTTATTTTGCAAAAATATGAATTCGGGTGTTACTGAGCACACCACTGGAAAGACAATGAAAAACTAATCATGATGGACTCAAGAATCACATAATTCGGAATCCGGACGAGGAAAAAAAGACAAAACAAAGAAAAATAGACATATAAGGCAAAAGGGTAAACTGGTAATTATTCAGAAATATCTTGGCGTAACCGAGTACACCGTTAGTCAAGTTAAAAAAAAAGTTACTCGATTTGGATCGGATCAATTTTCCGTTCATTACTGGACGTACTGGCTTGAAGAACTAGGGTCGTCACAAAATAAATATTGCTTCATATACTAATAATTGAATAAGTAGAATCAATTCCAGCAAAAATTACATGACAGATACTCCAAAAAATGCAATAAACCCTGAATCATACTGTTGAACATAATCTTAATGAGAAAGGTGGCCTAAACCATCTCATAAAAAAGAGCTTTCTACTATATATAAATACGCTAATTAATTGTTAATTCTCCTTGGATATTGGTTCTTGCATTGCTTGGAGTGATCACCTAAATTTGATGTGCCTCCTGTTGAAGTGTTATCAGAAGAAAATAGGACCTTGACATCCTCACAAATGACCCTCATATTCAGCCGTGTGTCACCATAATGCAACCTTGCACTAATCATGACAACATCATCTATGGTCACAATAAACTTAATTATACCACCATTTTTTGACCAATGCCCCGCCAAAATATCATTGGCCACGGACACAGGCGATGTAGCCCCTAGTAGTCTTTTGTCCTTTGGCAATTGATAGAAAGGTGTAATAGCAGCTGTAGTTATAGTGGACAAGAGATTAACCTCTTTGTAGAAGACCGAAACATTAATGGCTTGTTCATGAATAAATTTTGCAAACTTGTTAGGGTTCCGAACCACGAAAGTCGTGTTCCAACTTATCACAGTAGTATTAGCATTTACATGGGAGTTCATGCTGAATGGATAGACAATGGAAAGTGAATGAAGATGAAATATTGGTGGGCGTGGTTCATAGTGCCATGATACAAAAATGAAAATCCACGTAAGGCCGGTGAAAATCAGCAGAGTGTAAAAAAGGCATAGAGTAAAAATATTCTCTACCTTGGGCGGCTCATCAGAGGGTTCAGGGGTGTTGTTCAAAGGGTAAACTGCGGCCATGTTAATTTTGGTGTGACGTTGATCTTCCATTGCTTTGCTTGACTGAAGGTAATAATTCGTAACAACTATATAATAGCGCTTCTTAGGGAAGAATATACACATAGATACATCATACAAGGAATATATATATATATATATATATATATATATATATATATATATGGATGGTGAGGATTTATAAATCAGATGATGTTTAGGATTGAAAGGATGAAGCGTAGTAAGAGTAAAAGGATGCAATGGAATTATGGAAATATATGTACGTTTAGGATTTATGCAGCGGAATAACACATTCCTACTATAATGTGGAATTCTAATACTAAAAGGACAACATCATGTAATAGGGTCTCATGG